GAGCACTGAGGCCAATAGAGCTGAAAGCACTTTGGAATAAAGACTCAGAGAAAGTATCGTACAAACAGGGTTGTTATTTGACCCAGCAGCTGGGTCAGAGGAGCAAAAAGGTGGATAAGCGCTCAGGGCTTCTGCCCTGAGGCCCTTGAGGAAAAGAGAAACAGGCCTGGGGCAGGGAGAACAGCACCTGCAGGAAGGAGCGAGGTGGAGGCTGGGTCCTGGCTCTCCCGATGCTTCTTCCCCGGACCTCACTTCCTCCCCGTGCAGTGGGGGAGCACCATCCCTGCCAGGCTCCTGCCAAGGGCCCCAGTGAGGCTCCAGGGAGAGAGTCGGGGTGGACGAGCTTTGCCAACTGTAAAGCGCAGTGCACATATGCAGGCAAACTGCAGTTCCCAGCTGGGCTCTGGAAGTGGGGACAGTGGAGTTGGCAGGGAGAACAGTTTGTGGCCCAGAGCCCAGTCCTCTGCGCACCCTCAGGTCCCCAACACCTGTTCTTCCTCCCCTCAACTCCTGGCACCCTCTGCCCTCAGGTCAGAGGGACCTGAACGTGGAGCTGCTGAGGCCTGGGGGACAAAGAGGTCTGCTCTGGGTGGCCCCAGGCCCCCACCCCGAGCCCGTGGCGGGGACCACCTCCTCAGCAAGGCCCTGGTGTAGCCTCTTATCCCTGTAGATGAGCAAGTGAGTTTCTTTTAATGACCAAGTGCAGCCCTGGAGGCTGGGAGGGGCACGGCCTGGCCCTCTGGTCCCTGATGGTCATCCTTCCAGCCAGTGAGGTCTCCTGGGCGTCTTTGTGAAGGCCGTCCCTCTGCGTGCCAGCCCTGGCCCTAGGTGAGGGTTAGGATGACCTGTGGTGGAGCCTTCCTCTCAACACCCTGATAGCCACCAGCCAGGGATGACAGCAGCAGGTGCCCCAGCCCAGCAGAGGCCTGAGCCCTGCCAGCCACCCCTCCGCGGCTGGCTCTCGGCTCCGGAAGGGGCAGCGGGAAGAGGAAAGCTGGGAGAGCCTGGGCGGGGCCCCTTCAGAGCAGAGCCTTGAAGAGGAAGGAGAGGGAGGCTCCGCAGGAGAGCCCCAGGGCCAAGAAGAAGGTCATGAGAGCACCGGCCACCTCCCGCTCAGGCGGCAGCACCTGCCTGGAACACGCAGGGGAAGGAGCTCTTAGAAAATGCAGAGCCCAAACCTGGGCCCAGCCCCAGTGCCCTCCGCCCTCGCCCTCCTTATCACAAGCCACCTGAGTGCCGGGCTACGGATAATTTGGTCTTTCCTCTCTCTGGGCCTGTTTCCCGATCTGTAAATGAGGCCACGGGACAAGGACACCTCTCAGGGCCTTTGGGGTCCTCCAACATTATAGGGTTCTAGATCCCATTGCCTTCCCCTCTCGACAAAATGTCCCCAACCTGGTCCTCTCATCAGCCCAGCTCTCCCTGGATTCTCAACTCCATTCCCCTTAGAGGAAAAAACCCTGTTTTTGATCAAAACCTTAGTTCCCCCTCAGCTGAGAATTTTGGAGCTAGCTGGGCCTTAAGGGACAATAGTCTAACCCATTTAATTTACAGATGGGGAAACTGAGGCCCAGAGAGGCCCTGACGTGCCCACGGTCCCACAAGGCCCCAGAACCGATGACTGGGCTACTTTCCTGGGCAGGTACCCCCAGTCTAGTGCTCGTCTCCCCAGCTTCCCACCGGGGCCAGCTCAGCGGTTAAGGCCTGACCCCATGGGGTGCTGCCAGCAAGGCCTGGAGACAGCTAGGGCTGGGCGGGCCAGAGGCAGAAGGGCGCCCACCTTGCAGGCTGCCACCCACCCCTCCTTCAAGAGCCAGCCCAACACTACCCCTCAACCCCCCAGACCTGGGCGCCAGGCACATGGTGAGGGACACCAGGTAGCCGTTGGAGACAGCAAAGAGCAGCATGAAGGTGATGAAGTAGGCATCCTGGGGGAAGAGGGTGGGCAGCCGGGACCTCTCGGGCACATGGCACAGCATGAAGAGCGGCACGAACAGGAAGCGCAGGCAGACCAGCAGTGGCAGCAGCCGGCTGTCCTTGTCCGGCTGCAGCAGAGGCTGGGGTGAGTGTGGGCCCTGGGAGCGGTCTCTGCTCCAGGGGCGCCTCGGGACACCCGGAACAGACCCACAGATCACTCCCCCAACCTTGGACCTGCCCGACATGAGTGCGGGGCCGCACCAAGGCCACCAGCAGTCAAGGACCAGCCTGGGCCACCTCTGCCTTCCTGAGTTTTGGGTGTGCTCCCTCCATGACAGAACCAGAAGAAGCCTTACACAGCATCTGTGGTTTTCAAACTCGGTTCCTCGGGGCACCCCTGGGGATTCCCACACCCCTTTGGGGCAGATGGGGTTGCTAAGCGGGAATACAAAAACAAACAAATCGTCGCCGTTGAGCAGAACTGCCCCATAGGGTTTCCAAGGAGAAGCTGGTGGATTCGAACTGCCAACCTTTTCGTTAGCAGCTGAGCTCTTAACCACTGCACTACCAGGGCTCCCTGAGTGGGACTGGAAGCTGAGATCCAGGCCCCACCGCAGCTTGGATCAGAGAAGCTGCTCTTTGATCTGCTTCATTTGTTGTGTCTCCTTAGAAGGTTCCAGGCAAAGGAACAGCCAAACCAAACCAAATCAGTTGCCACTGAGTTAATTCTAACTCGTCATAGCAACCCCATGTGTTTCGGAGTAGAACTGTGCTCCACAGGGTTTTCAATGGCTGATTTTCCAGACTGCCAGGCCTTTCTTCCAAGGCACCTCTGGGTGGACTCGAACCTCCAACCTTTCAGTTAGCAGTGGAGCGTGTAACTGTACCACCCACGAACAGCACCTTGGCTAAAAGCACTCTGACAGCCAGGAATCTTGTCCAACTCCTCACTCGGTGCAGAAATATTCTCTGAGAACTGAGGTGGGGTGCTGGGGACACAGGTTGCTTGGACATGGCCTCTGCTTTCAAGACACTCGAAGTCCAAGCCCTGGCTTGCATACCTTCAGGGACCTGGTGGTCATTATCCACTGGGCCAGCTGTTTCATTGCCAGACCACTTGAGTCATTGAGACATTAACTTTCTGTGCTCTCTCATGCCCTCTGAACCCTGACTGCTCCCTAAGACCCTCATAACACTCCAGGCCGGGTGTGCTCACCCACAGGAAGTAAGAGGTCAGGCTGCGTCCCAGCCAGTCCATGACATTGAAGAGAAGGAAGCAGCAAATGGGGTTGAAGAACTGACCTGGGAGAGAGAGAGAGAGCTGGTGGCTCATCCTGTTCCCGACTCGCCTCTTCCCTCTCTCCTTCATTCCCTACCCTGCCCCCTTCTGCACCCCAACACTCACTCCACTTCCCGGGGCTGGTGGAGCTGGTCACCATGGCTGTAATGGCAGGGAAGACAGACAGAGTGACTGTGAAGACCAACACAAGGCACAGCGCTGTCAGCCAGATCTGGGAGCCGGAGGCAGGGGTGTGAGCTGGCGGGGCAGTTCTGGGGCCCAAGGTCAGCCCCACCCTCCTGCCCGAGCCCTGGCCCAGAAGCAAACAGGCCCAGCTGTGGCCCTGACCCACGAAGTGCCCCGTGACTGAGGGGTGGACAATGGGAGTCCTAAGGCCCCATTCCGTTCTAAGATTCTCTGGTTGTTGGCATCCTCAGGAAGGGCCGGCCTCCCCTGGGCCCCTGTGGTGGCTGAGGCAGGGACAGGATGGGCAGGACAGGAGGGAGCAGCCCTCTATTGTCCAGGGATGGGGGCGGGGTTAGGTCCAAGCCAAACCTTTTGGAAGACGACTAAGACAGGTTTCCCTGGCTTCTGGGGCTCCTCTGGCTCCATCTCTAGCTCCTTCTCAGGGTCAAGGTCCAGAGTCAAGGCTGCCTTCTGGGGGCTGTTGGGAATCCCGTTCTTCTCATCTGGGGCAAATACAGAGAGCAGGGTCACAGCCTGGGATCCAGGTTTCCTGACAGCTAGGCCCAGTGGAGGGCAATCCCAGCAGTTAACACAAGGGATCCTCCTCCAGGCCAGGGTGCGATCAAAGAGGGCATAGTCAACGACGAATAGTCACAGCTACTATTTCCTAAGCACCTTAGATGAACTACCTCACTGCCATCACTTTACAAATGAAGAAACTAGGGCTCAGAGGAGTTAAGGGACTTGCCTAACGACACACAGCTTGGATGTGGTGAGACCAGGATTTAAACCGAGATGCACTTGGATCCAGAGTTTGCATGCATGAAGCTCTGCTGCCTCCCCATCTTATAGAGGAGGAAACTGAGACCCAAAGGGCAGCAGGGATGACTTTAATTCCACTGACTTCCCTTTAGTCTCTCCCTTGCTCACACAGGCTGCTGGGGATGGGGGCTCTGGTTGGGGATGGGGGGAAATGCTTCCCAAAGAGGTGGCTCTGGCCTTCTCGGAGTTTCCCAGCTCCCCAGCAGATCCTGGGACTAACCAGCCTGGAGGAGCTCAGCTTTGGTCTCCAGCTCTTGAGCTTGGGCCTGGGGTGGCTTCTTGGCCAGGTAGTAACGGGCAAACTCCTGCAGAAGGAAGGAAAGTAGTGTCCCTGCCTGGCTTGGGCTCACCTGTCTGGAACCCCTCCCCACACCATTGGCTTAGCGGCTGGGGTCCCCCCAGTGACCTACTCCGTTGAGGATCAGGGCTGGGTCCAGGTCCCCTCTGTCTCCCCTGGCCTCCCTCGGGGCCTCAGACTCAGGGTTGTATCTGAGATGCTCTGAGGTGGGGCTTGGAGCCCAAAAGCAAGGCCAGCCGGGCCGGGCGGGCTCACCAGGTGAGGCAGGCTCAGGTAACACACAGTGGACATGAGGATGCCCACACAGGGCGTGATGAAGTACCCCAGGGCGGAAGTCTGGGCATCCACGCCACCTGTGCCAGAAAAGTCAGCTGCAGAGGACAGAGGCCTAGTCCCATGGGCTCCCACAGGACCTCCAGCTCTCCTTGCACATCCCATAATACACTCCTCAGGTTCACCTCCCAGCCCCTTCCCCTCTTTCCTTCACTGACAAGCTCAGGACTCCTGCAGGTCCCCAGACTAGCCTGTCTCTTCTCCCACTTTTTCCTATTATGTCGTTTTTGTTGGACACCTACCATGTGCCAGGAGCTTTCTTGTTTGCATGCTCATTATAATCTGAGGGGGAGGAGCTATAATAATCACACGTAGGTGGGGAAACTGTAACACAGAGAGGTTAAATGCCTGAGTAGTGGAATTGGGATTTGGCTTCAACCTTGGCCTTCCCTGGCCTCCGGCTGCTGCATACCAGCATTGACCCAACCCCAGGTTAGCCCAATCCTCACCTGGTCATGCTCCCTCACGGCAGAGCCTAGGAACTCCACTCCCACACCCACACCCAACCCCCAGCCCCCCGGAAGGAACCCAGGCATCTGGCTCCTGGCATACCCTCTCCCCTCCCCAGGGCCCAGAGCTGCCCTCCAGCTGCCCCAGTCTACTCACTGGCCATGGACAGGAGCATAGCGAGGGCGGCAAAGATGCCAGCCAGGCCCTGGCCGCTGAGGAAGAGAGTGCTGTAGGTGGAGGGCATGGTGCCCAGCTGCCCGAAGAGGCTGCCCTGCAGAACTGCACTGAAGGCTGTGGGGGGAGGACAGGAGGGCTCAGGGCTTCCGGGAGGTGGCACCAGGGTGTATGGGGCTGGGTTGGGCGGGGTGAACTCTCCTAGAGACTCTGAGCTCAATGCCCCCCCCTTCTGAGGTGCAGTCACAGGTCTGTGGGGCTGCTTGTAAGGTCACTGTGGGACGTTTGCTCTCTCTCTGGGCCTCAGTTTCTTCATCAGGGACATGGGTAACAATAATGCTGTCTCTCTCCCGTTCTTGGATATGCTGAGCCCCTTCAGTTACAAAGAGGAGGGCTGGGTGGGAAGGCGGGTGGGGTCAGAGGTGCTCACAGTTGATGAACCAGATAGAGGTCATGGTGATGGAGAAGAAGGGCTCGGGGCTCACGTCCACCTTGACCAGCGCTGCCGTCAGGGTGAAGAGCAGCAGGATGGCCAGCAGGCTGCCCAGAATCCGCACTGTCTCCGGGATGCTGCTCGGAGCAGGGCAGAGTGGCATCAGCCAGGCCCAGGGTGGGCAGGGGAGGTGGGCAAGAGGGTCAGCCCAGGCTGGGCAGTGGGGGATAGGGGGGTGCAGGGAGAGTGGAGATAGGAGGGGCAGAGAGGCAGTGGGGGATGGGGGGATGCAGGGAGAGTGGAGGGACGGGGGATGCAGGGAGAGTGGAGACAGGAGGGGGCAGAGAGGCAGTGGAGGGATGGGGGAGGGGCCTCTCACAGCTGGTACAGGAAGGAGTTGAGGAAGGTGAAGAGCAGCAGCGGCAGCTGGGATAGCAGGGTCGCCCAGTTGTTGAAGTTGTAGGTGTCTGTGGGGCCCGTGTGGTTGGTGCTCAGGGTCCCAGCTGTGCTGTTGGCCCCGGCCAGCCGCCCCTGGAAGTACTAACAGGATGGGGGTGCAGGGTCACCTCCAGGCCTCACCCTACAGCCCACCCTCAGGAAACCCCCGTCCCCCTCCCATGCTTGTCATTGCTGCATCTGCGGGGACCGTGTCTGCCTTGTCATTGCACTGTCCCCAGCACCTGGCACACAGTGGGAGCTCCATGAGTGTTCCTTGAACTGAAGGGCTGAGGTCTAGCTCAGAGCCCAAGCCCAAAGAAGCTCCAGGGCAGGGCTCAGCTCCATCTTTGGGTCACCCTCCTTTCAGTGCCCTGGCCCTCCGCCACTCCTGCAGCAACTCCTCCAGTCATTCATTCCATGGGTATTTATTGAGCACCTACTGTAAGCCTTTCATAGTCACTTTATAGGTCAGAGTAGAACTGCCTCATAGGGTTTTTAAGGAGTGGCTGGTGGATTCAAACTGCCTTTTGGTTAGCAGCCACAGTACTTAACCACTATGGTACCAGGGCTGTAAGGTCGCTGAGTCAGAATCGACTGTTGGCAACGGTTTTTTTTCACTGTAAGCCAGGCTCTGGCCTTGGTGCTTGCCACTGCATTCTCCCTGGAACACAAGTCCTTCTTAAAAAATGCCCTGTGGGCTCCCTATTGCCCAGAGGGTAAAACCTCAAGTCCTAACAGAACCAGGTCCTGAGCTCCCAGCTGTGCCCCATCTCCTGCTTCATCCCTGCTAAGCTCCAGGCACCCCAGGCTCTTGACTTTCCCTGAACAGGCTGGCTCTGTGCCTTTGCATGCCTGTTGTCTCCACCTGGAATGCCCACCCCCTCTTCCTACCACTCCCTCCCCGAAACTTTGCCCACCCTACTCCCAGGTCACTACCTAACTGTTCCATGAAGCCCACTGTGGCCTCCTTCCCTAAAGAGAAAGAACTGCTCCGTCCCCTGGGTAACCACTTTGGGGCTCTGCTCCAAGCCTGGATGTTGCATGTCTTCTTACACTATCAATAGAGTTTTGAATCCCTCCGGACCAGGGGCTGATCCATCTTTGGGCTCCGCGCACAGTCAAGCTCCGAAGTGGCATTGAAAAGTCGTTGCACTGACTATATATAAATCACCCAGCCCCAAAGAGAACCACACACCACGACTCTGCCTCTCCTTAAGAGAATGTAAGCTCCCTGAGGACACGGCCTTCTGTCCTTTTGTTTCATCCTGCGTCCCCAATGCCAAGCACAGTGCCTGGCTCATCAAAACCAAACTAATCCCTTTGTGGTGGAGTAGATTCTGTCTCATAGCAACCCTATAGTACAGAGTCGAACTGCCCCATAGGTTTCCAAAGACAGCCTGGTGGATTAGAACTGTCAGCCTTTTGGTTAGCAGCCAAACGCTTAACCACTGTGCCACCAGGGCCCTAACTGGCCCACAGTAGTGCTCATTAAATGTTTGTTCAGTGAATGAGTGTATGTCATGCTATTGTGAAGTAAACCAAAGGTTCAAGAGTTTACTTTTGGAGTCACTGACCCAGGAATCATGAAAAAAAGGAAAGTGGGTGGGCAGCTCCTCTGCTGCTTCCCTGAGACCCCTGAGCTGGGGAACTGACCCCTCGGGGACCTGGGCATTTATGAAAGCTTGGGTTTCCTCCACCAGCCATGTAAGAGGTGCGCCTGCTCTGGAAGACTGAGCTCGCAGCACCAGTGAGTTTAAGGAGGAGTCAGAGGCAGTGGCGGCCGAGAAAGCGCCCCCGGGCGAACCTCAGGCCCACGGCGTCTAGTTGGAGGCAGGGATGGCTTTTTTGGCCATGGGGGTGTCACTCTGCCACGGTTCTCACCGGGATGGCGGTGATGAAGAAGTTCCAGGGAAGGAGGGTGCCCAGGCCCAGGATGAAGAAGCTGATCCCGACCAAGTGGTAGCTGTGGGGATCAGTCAGAAGGTCACCCCGAGGACGCCCCGGCCTCCCCTCCCGCCTCCCAGGCGCCCCCTCCGGAAAGCGGACTACAACCCCCATCACCGCGGCTCTGCAGGCCCAGGGCGACGGCTGATGGGAATTGTAGTTTCCCCCAGTCTTCTGCGCTCCTTGAAGCGCCCGAAGCGAGACAGTGCCCCCAGCCCCCCGGGTCCGTGCACGCACTGCCCCCCGCCCCCCACTCACCTGTCCTGCGGGGCGTCTCCCCGCGCCATGGCCGCCGAAGCGGGAGAGGGGAAGCCGCACCTGCACCTACGCGAGGGACGAGGGCCGGAGACCCGGAGGCTGGGTCCTGCCGGCGGCGGGCACAGGCTGGGGGGTCCGGGCTCCGGGAATCAGGCGGAGTGGGGAGACTGGCGCCGGAAGGGAGCCCGGGGCTGCCTCCCGCAGGTCTCAAGCTCCGCAGCCTGGGACTTCGGCTCCGCCCCCGGGGCGGGGACAGAGGGTCGCACCACCCCACCCGCACCTCCCCTCGCGGGGACTCCAGGCCCGGGCGTCGCAGACCCCGGCCCTAACCAGGAGGTCCTACCCGCGGTTTCCGGCTCCCCGCGCCTCGCCTGGGCGGTCTAGAGGCGACTGACTCGGGAAGATCGCGCCACCGCAGCCCCCATGCCCCTCGGCGGGCGACGGTTCCCGCACCGCGGCCGGGGTAAGGGAGGGCGTCCCCACCCCCAGGCGAGAGCGCCCGGAGCCGCTACCCGAGGCCCCCGCTCCAGCACCGAGGGCGCTGCGCTCGCGTCCCTGCGGAGGCCCCACCGAGTGCGCGACCCAAGCGGGCCCGGCGCCCAAGGCAGGGGGTGGGGGAGGGGGGCAGGAGCGACCATCTGTCCCCTGCGGTCCTGGTGGGCCGCGCCCAGCTGGGTCCCCAGGGGGGCCGAGAAGACCAGATGCCCGCGCTGGTGGAGCCCCCAAGCGGGTCTGGGAAACAGACGGACAGACGGACCCTTCTGGCCCATGTGTGCCTGCGGTCCCGCACCACATCCTATCAGACATATCAAGATGCACCCACCTCCCACTTTTTATAAATATTTTTCTGTGAAAAACTTTGAAAAGATTATAACCATTGTATGTTTGAAATGAATTGCTCCGACTAATTCATAATTTTACGAGTGGGCGTGGTTTCTTTGAATCACCTTGCATATCCGGGATGTTGGAGAACTGAGAGGCTCTAAATCACAAATTATTTTAGTAAGTAATGACATTTTATGGCTACCCAGGGCCTCGTCCGCGGTGTTAAGGCGTCTGGTCTTTATCCCATGAACGGGGAGGGTGGTGGTGGGGCCTGCTCAGATTTGCATTGTGAGCTGCCCTCTCTGGCTGCAGGGTGGAGGGTGGATCCCACGGGTCCCTGGGGGAGGACTCAAGTAGAACAAGTCGTCCAGGCAAAGGGTGATGGTGGCTGGACTCGAGTGGAGATACGTGGCTCCGTTGGGGGGCCCTCCCCACCTCCCTGCCGAGGGTGGGGCAGAGGCCTCCTTTGGGTGCATACCCCACCGTCAAATAGTGTGGCCCTTTGGGTGCATACCCCACCGTCAAATAGTGTGGCCCTTTCCAGGCTTTTTCTTCAGGAGACCTCGAGGCTATGGGGCAAAGACCACTTGTCTCCTTCACTGCTTTAGTGCCAGCAGCTGGCACCAATGCCAGGTCCATAGCAGGTACTGAGTAAATGTTTGGAGAATAGATGGATTATTGCAGTGATATCCTAGGTGATTTTAAGGAGCACAGGGACAGCATGAAATTACACTGAAAGTCATCACTTTTCAATTTTCTTTCAAGCCTTTAGAATACATCAAGGGGAAAGTCTCAAATTAGTACTAACATGGTCTAATACCTTCCTAACACCTGTTAATCAACCGCGCTCTCTCTGTGGATGTGTCTCTCTGTGCCTCAAGCAAAGAGCTGGCTTCAGGGCTTCTGCTGACAACTTGATCTAAATAGTGTATTTTTAGGGCTACTGATACTGGTTTCCTATTTCTGATGGTGATGAAAACTTTTCTTTGAAAAATAAACTCATTTATGAAAAATGAGTCATTTAGAGAAAAATTGAGTGAGACCACAGGTGGGTCACATCAATGGCACAAGTTGTGACAGGAGCACGTGAAGATCCGAGGTTGGGGACGCATTGAATTTGCAAAGAGGAAGAGGGCTCCTCCAGGAGAGAACAGCGTGCACCGTGACCTGGGAGGTGAGAGTGCTGGCACATTCTGGGACATACAAATAGATCCCTCAGGCTGGCGCGGTGGGAGGAGGGGACAGACCTCTGCAGTGGGTGGCCTGGCAAGACAGGCCGGGGGCTGAGGGAGGAGGTTGGATTTCATTTGAAAGCAATGGTTCTCAACTTAATCAGACCCAGTCTCCCTTTTAATAACAAATATTTTGTTACTATCCTGAAATGAAATTCACATATAATAAAACTCACCTATACACAAATATTTTAAATGTCATTATAATATTCTAATTGTACAAAAGGAGGTTAAAAAAAAAGAAAAACCCATTGCTGTCAAGTTGATTCCCACTCATAGTGACCCTACAGGACAGAGTAGAACTGCCTCATAGGGTTTCCAAGGGGTGGCTGGTGGAGTCGAACTGCCAACCTTTTGGTTAGCAGCCAAATGCTTAACCACTGCACCACCAGGGCTCCAAATAAATAAAAGTATGTCGTAATAAAATAACATGTATTGCAATATGGTAATGCTCAAGCAGAATGAAGTGCTTGGATGCTGCCCCCTCTTATTAAACCGCAGTGAATACAAAGGCTGCAAAAGCACAGACAGTACAGCCGGGTGGTGAAATTGACCACTAAGATGCTGATGGGATTTTCTGAAGGGGTGAACACGTGTTGGCAAAGTCCCAAACAACGCAGGGTGTAGCTGTCCGTCAACAAAGACAGTTGCTGTGTCACTGGGGAATGTGCGTACTCAAATCTTACAAACAATGCCTTGTGTTCAAATGTAAAATGGAGTTCGTTTCTAGGCTCAGAAAATTATCAACATATTTTTAAATCATTAATAGAATTTTTTAGTGTCATTTTAGATTTACAGAATAATTGAGCAGATAGTACATAGAGTTGCCTATGGCCCCACACAGACACACGGTTTTCCTTGTTATTAATATCTTGCATCGTTGTTGTTGTTGCCAGTTGCCATCAAATCCATTTTAACTCATGGCAATTCCATGTGTGCAGAGTAGAGCCGCTCCATAGGGTTTTCAAGGCGGTGGCTTTCCGGAAGCAGATCGTCAGGCCTGTCTTCCAAGGAGCCTCCGAGTGGGTTTGAACCACCAGCCTTTCGGCTAGTAGTTGAGTGTTTGTTTGCACCACCCTGGGAATCCTAACATCTTGAATTAGCATGGTACATTTGTTACAGTTGCTGGACCAATATGATACATTACCATTAACTATAGTCCATAGTTTAAATTAGGGTTCACTGTTTGTGTTGTACAATTCTGTGGGTTTTGACAAATGCATAATGACATTCGTACACCATTACAGTATCACACAAAATAGTGTAACTGCCCTAGAAGTCCCCTGTGCTTCACCTAGTCATCCCTCCCTCCCTCCCTCCCCCTGAACTCCTGACAAATATTAATTCTTTTTACTGTCTTTCTTGTTGTTAGGTGCTGTCGAGTCGGTTCTGATTCATAGTGACCCTATGTACAACAGACCAAAACACTGCCCGGTCCTGTGCCCTCCTCATGATCCTTATTGTGCTTAAGCCCATTGTTGCAGCCACTGTGTCAATCCATCTCGTTGAGGGTCTTCCTCTTTTTCGCTGACCGTCTACTTTACCAAGCAAGATGTCCTTCTCTAGGGACTGATCTCCCCTGATAACATGCCCAAAGTATGTGAGACGAAGTCTTGCCATTCTCCCTTCTAAGGAGCGTTCTGACTGTACTTCTTCCAAGACAGATTTGTTCGTTCCTCTGGCAGTCCGTGGTGTATTCAGTGTTTCTCACCCACACCACAGCTCAAAGGCATCAACTCTTCTTTGGTCATACGCTTTCGCACGCATATGAGGCAACTGAAAACATCATGTCTTGGGTCAGGCACACCTTTGTCCTCAAAGTGACATCTTTGCTTTTGAGCACTTTAGAGAAGTCTTTTGCAGCAAATTTGCCCGATGCAAATGCATCCTTTGATTTCCCAACTGCTGCTTCTATGGGTGTTGATTGTGGATCCAAGTAAAATGAAATCCTTGACAACTTCAGTCTTTGGTTGAGTTGTGAGGATTTCTGTTTTCTTTATGTGGAGGTGTAATCTATACTGAAGGCTGTAATCTCTGATCTTCATCAGTAAGCGCTTCAAGTCCCCTTCACCTTCAGCAAGCGGGCTGGTGTCATGTGAGTATCGCAGACTGGTGCAGCCAAGAACACACGTGCAGCACAGGACCTTCTTCCTAGGAGGGGGCAGGACTTCAGGGTTCCTCTTCCTGCCCCAGCTACCTGTTGCCAAGGCTAAGTGCTGTAGCTGTGAGTGCAGCCAAAAAGTGGGGGTTCCCGTTTTCTGCCCAGCCTTCACTTGAGGGATGCTGCTGAGAATATTGGAGCCCCAATCACCCTCATCCCGGCTCTTAAGGTGGTGGTTCCACACTGGGAGAAGCAAGTTGAGAATACCTGAGGCTACTGCTCCCCTTCCACTAAGCTTTCCAGCTCGTAAAGCAGGGATGCCACTCAGAGAGAAGTGCACCATTTTCCCCACCTCCAGATCCAGAGCCATGGCTCAAAGGTTTTGCCCATAGGCCATAAAACTGACAGCTCCTAATCTTTTCCCAAAGAAACTGACTTCATTTGCAATACAGCCTGAAGTTTGAGTCTGAGTACCCTAAAAAATTTGAGGTTGTGGTGAAAGGCAGCAGAGCCCTGGTGGCAAAGTGGTTAAGCACTTGGCTGTTAACCGAAAGGTCAGCGGTTTGAACTCACCAGCCACTCTGTGAAAGAAAGATGTGTCAGTCTGCTTCCATAAAGATTTACAGCCTTGGAAACCCTATGGGACAGTTCTACTCTGTCCTATAGGGTCACTATGAGTTGGAATCGACTTGACAGCAATGGGTTTGGTTTTTTGAATTTGGTGAAAGGCAATCAGCAGGAGTTTGGTAGATTCACTGGAGAAGGCTAAACTGTAGATTGTCAAGTCAGTTTTCAGGAGAGACCTGGGGAGCCCTTCTAATGGGCCCAAATTTGATTGGATTAGTCTGTAGAACAATTTATGCCCGTTATGCCCAGGGA